TCTACATAAAAGAAAAATGAGCACCAGAAGTTGCAGATATTTGTAAAAACATATTCTTCTAATTTTAAGTCCTTAAAAGATAACTGCATATAAAAAGTAAAATATCATCAACGTACATGGGAGTTTAACACAGTTAGAAGCAAAAATGTGGTTAACAATAGCAGAAAGGATAGAGAAGGGAAATGGAAGTATACTGTTGCAAGATTCTTACACTATATATGAAGGTACATGATACTATTTGAAGATGGAATGTAAGTAAAAAAAGTATATCGTAAAACCTAGGACAGCCTCTAAAAAAAAAGATATGATAGGATTTCCCTGGTGGTGCAGTGGTTAAGAATCCACCTGCTAACGCAGGGGACTCGGGTTCAAGCCCTGGTCTGGGAAGATTCCACATGCCGCAGAGCAACTAAGCCCATGTGCCACAACTACTGAAGCCCGTGTCCTAGAGCCCCCACTCTGCAACAAGAGATGCCACTGCAATGAGAAGCCCACGCACCGCAACGAAGAGCAGCCCCCACTCACAGCAACTAGAGAAGGCGCACGTGAAGACCCAACCAGCCAAAAATAAATAAATAAAGTTAAAAAAAGAAGTATGATAATAATCCAACAGAAAATAAAACTGAATCATAAAAGATACTCAATACCAAAAAGGCAGGAATGGAGGAAAAAGAGAACAAATAACGTATCAAAGAATGGAAAACGAAATAGCAGTTTGGTAGATTAAAATGCAAACACAACAAATATCAACAAATACATTAAATATAATGGTCTAAACACCACCGTTAAATAAAAGGCAGAGATCTTTAGCATCACCCCCCCACACACACACAGCCTGTAAGGAAACTCTGGGAATCAGTGATGGTTCACCTCCTGGGGCTGGAGGAGGAATCCCCTTCCCCTGAACATGTTACCACACAAATGAAATAGGGGTGCAGTAAAATTAGGAAGTACTCTCAGGCGGGTGAGAAATGGTGGTTCCCGTATACATTAATGATGAGTAAGGTCATTTCATAGCAGGTTATCTGTCAAATAAGATTAGTAACATCTCCTCTACCTGGTCTTCTTGAGGATTAGGAAAAATTTAGATAAATCTTCAAGTGATGTGGCTGATCCAGAGAAAGTAAACTCAAGAGTAATGGTGTCAGTGTTGTTGCTGGTGGTGGAGTGGTTGCTGGTAATTTTGGCAAACAAAGGCCAGACAAGCAAGGACGCGTACAAAGCAGAAATGGAATTATGTCCTCACTCCCTACCCGTAGCTGTGTATTGGAAGACAGAAGCCAATAAAAAGCCCAAGTAACTGCTTCTACTCCTGGCCCATACTCCATAAGACCTTTAGAATCCCTTTCTAAAATCATATCATGTCACTCCTCTGTTTACAAACTTTCTAAGACAACAATGATAGCTAGCATTTACTGTGTGTTCCCTGTAGCAGACACATTACAGCATCACTTCATTAATTCTATAAAACAGGTGAGGGAAACAGAGGTTCACAGTAAATGGCAGATCCAGGAGGCAAACCCAGATCCACCTTCTTCTTTGTGTCTCATTGCCAATCAATGGCTCCGTGGAAAGTAGAGTCTTCCCCTATAGACACAGGTAGGAAGGTTATTAGCAGACAATTCATGGAGGTCTTGTAGGCATTGAAAAGTTTTTGGAGGTCTTTCAGCAAGGGAGTGACTCAGATATGGCTACCATAGAACAAATTGACTTGAGGCAACCTGGAGAGAATGGATGCTGCTGGCACCATCCAGGAGAGACATGGCCTGGGAAGGAGTGAAGGGGAGGAAGAGGGCATCGATGTGAAGGTTAATGCAGTAGTCCAATCAGCAAGACGTAGTCATCACATTTGGCGGTTGAAAACAGGAAGATGTCTAGGATGACTTGTAGGTTTCTTACTTGGTACCGTCTACTCAGAGGTGGGACATCCCATAGTGGAACAGGTTTTATAGGAAGCCAATGGGTTCAGGGCTGGACAGGCATCTGTGAGAAATGTGTCTGGAGCCCAAGAGGAAGTCCAGTCTGGAGATAAAGATTTGGGGTCAAAAGCTTAAAGCTGTTCCCAAATATCCCCAGTCAGGTTGCATCTCACTCCCAAATTCCCACAGCATGGTTTTCAGAACTCTATTTTATCCCTTGTGCTTAACGATGATTTATTTTTGTGTCTGTCAACTTAACTAGACTGAACTCTTAGAAGACATGATCCATGGGACACTGAGCTTCAGAGAGGTTAGCAATTTTCTCAAATTCTCCCAACTTACAAGTAATGGAGCCCCATCTTGAAATCAAGTCCTCTCAAGTTCCCTGGAGCTTCTCTCTTATGAATAGGCTTCCATGTATTGTGGCAGGTACAGCCCTTCTAGAAGGGTCACTGTCTTCATGTAGGGTGAAAACAGGAATGAAAGGAACCGCAAAGCTCAATTTTGTGAGTATGTAAAAACATAATAAATAAGCTACATTTATTGCATATCAACATTTTATTGAACACCAACATTTTATATAATATCCAATATCTTCACTCTTTGTGACATCCCTACCCTAGGGTAGGTATTAGGACCCCTGTTTTACAGATGAGGAGACTAAGGTTCAGAGTGGTAAAGTGACTTGCTTAAAAGTTGTAGAGCCAGGATTTAAACCTGAGCTACCTGATTCCAGGAGCACAAGATTTCCCTATCACATCTTCGTGTTTCTCATGCAGTGAGTTTAGAGAAATTAAATCAATAGCTAGTCTTTGTCTATTAACATAAGGAGTTATTATTAGGTTCAAATGCTGTATTTTGAATAGCTTGAGCACCTCCTGCTGTTGCTAATAATCTATTCAATCAGCCTTCAGCCCATAATTTTGACCTATTTTTTCGAATCCTTATGTGCAATCTATTTTCAACCATGCATAATTCTAGCAGAGTCCTAGAATCAGGAAATTATTAGAAAGGCAGATGGGTCACCTTCAAGAAATACAGGACATAGATGTGGCAGGTGCACACCACCACCAAACACTTTACTGATCCAGTTTCATCTAATCCTCATAACAAGGGATTCTCACCAGCCTTTTGTTGACGAATATGAGGCTCTGAAAGGTCAGGTGAGTTCCACAGGACACACAGCTCACAAGCAACAGAGCAGGATCTGAACTTAAGTAAGCTTACACCAAAGACCATGCATTTTCCACTCCACTATCCTGTGTGAAAATCACTGCTCTTTCTCTCCTCTCTCTTCTCACTTGAGCTTCTGATGGGAAAACTGACCCCATCCACTTTTCTCTCCTGCATTTGAACTGCTTACTTGTGCGTATCTGCTAATGCAGAGATATGGCCAACTGGCAGCCACGATGAAGGTGCACAGCTGCCCCCTGGAAGAAGTGCAACTCCAGGCAAAGATCCCTCATCACCATATGCTGCACGCATGCTGATGGGAAACTGCAGATAAGACTTGGCCTTCAGGTTGCCAAAGGCAAGGCGATGTCTCATGGCAGGTAAGGGTTTGAAAGCTAGGAGACTTGGGTTCAAAGTGAGGATTCCTCCCTTACACATGGTGTGATCACAGGTGAGTTACTTAAACTTTCTGAGTCTCAGTTTCCTTGGCTGTAAAATGGGAGTAGTGATCCTCATCTGCTGGGTATTGTCAAGGATTAAGAAGTGGGTTCAATAAAAAGGAACGAAGTTGGGTCATTTGTAGAGACGTGGATGGATCTAGAGACTGTCATACAGAGTGAAGTAAGTCAGAATGAGAAAAGCAAATATCGTGTATTAACACATATATGTGGAACCTAGAAAAATGGTACAGATGAATTGATTTGCAGGGCAGAAATTGAGACACAGATGTAGAGAACAAACGTATGGACACCAAGGGGGGAAAGTGGTGGCGGTGGTGGTGGTGTGATGAATTGGGAGATTGGGATTGACATATATACACTAATATGTATAAAATAGATAACTAATGAGAACCTGCTGTATACAAAAAAAAAAAAAGTGGGTTCAAGTAGCTGTAAGAGTCTAGAAGCAACTCTCATGTAAGAGATGCTTCATCAGAATCCCTTTTCTTCTCGTTGGTGACAGGATTCCCTGCCTAATCATTTCCCACGCTTAGGAAAGACCCATCATAATTGTATTCTTTGCCTGGTTCTCAGAAAAGCTCATATAATGATCCAACCACACTGTGAGGATGGAGAGGGTCTGGGCACAGGAAAGCACTTTGTGCAACACGAGGACCTGTGTGCAGTCAGTTTGTTGGCAAACACCTGAGGGCAGGTATGTGTCCGTTTACCAAGTCCAGGAGAAGGGACAAGGGTTTGGGGCCATAAAGAGTTCAGCGAGTCCTGACTTTGTTACTTACTGGCTTTATCATCTAGCCTAAATCCCCTCACCTTCTTAAGCCTCTGAGTTTCCTGATTTGAGTTGGATATGGTATCGCCCAGTGGTTGGCACATCTTCTGGCCCCTGTAAAGATGCAGGGTAAATTTCCATTGAACATCACAATGTGGGGGCCAAAACCCAAGAAGGGATTAAAAATAAATGGTTCCTACAGAAAGCAAAGACGAGTTCCCTTGAGAAGAGCTTTAGGGAAAATGCTCTTCTTTCAAAAGCTCCCTTGATAAAAACAGAATATGTAACAAACACAAAATGTGAGAGAACAGAGAGCCTTGCCTTCAACATACAGCCCACTCTTCAGCCAGGTGTTGCGGGGATGTGAATTAGGGGCCTGGGGCTCCTCTAGACCCTCAGCAAGGTGGGACTGAAAGCAACGAGGGTTCACGGGCTGGTCCCCTGTCTCTTCATGTCCCTTGCGATGCTGAAGGGAAATGGGCCATCTGGGAATTCATGGGACCAGATTAAACTGAGCCCATGAAAGTCGTGGTGAGGGAGGGAGAGTGGATGTATCTGTCCTCTGCAAGTGCAATTAATACCTGCAAGTTGTACGTTATAAACACACACACACACACTCATGTGGGCAGGAGAAAACAAATCTTTCTGTCTTCGGACTCCCTGGAGCTTTCCTTTGGGCTAGTTCATGCCCAAGGCCCAAGTGGCCTTTTTGGCATTCAGAAAGTTCTTCTTTTTCCTGGGAGGAAGGTGCAGTGAGATCTCCGGCTCCTTTGGATTTCTGAAGATAAAGAGCTTTTCGCCAGTGTTTAATAAATCAATGGTTTCTGCCCCTACAATGGGCACCGGGGCCAGTTCACCAATGGACTCCAGTGACAGGTGTGGCCAACTTCCTTTTCCAGAGAATATCGCCCTCTCTCTGAGAGGGGGACACGTCTTCTTTAATATGCTAAAGAAAGAACAGAAGATCAGATACGACATTTTTGGCAACTGACTCTCCCAAGTGTCCTGAAAGAGTTCTCTAGGAAAACCCCCTTTTGTCCCTAGGGCCCCAGTCAAGTGTCTTTTAAAGAAAGGTTTTTCCCTGTGGTTGCCAGGTTGCCCCTGAGATTAGCTGAAGCCTGTAGCAGTGGTGGCTGAAGACAGCTCTCACCAACTCATGACTGTTCACTTTTGTGGAGTTTTGTGAGCCTGTTGTCATCATATTGTCAGCACGGAATCAGCCATGGTGGGAGTGTTTCACACCACGGAAACTAAGTGCTACAAATCAGAGCTCCCATCTCCCCCCAGACAATCGTGAGACATTTTCTAGGACACCCCTGCCTGTGGGCTTCACACTAAAAGCGGGCTGATAAAACCTGATTATAAAGCAACAGTTAGAAGTTAGGTAAAATGTGTTTGAAATAGAACAGAGCAACACGCTTTGGGAATATCCTGTAAAAGGATTGCTGGAATCCTGCCCATAAGCAGTCCAGTCCCTAAATCCTGGCTGCTCTTGATAATGGTTCGGACTCCTCCTGAGAGTGCTATACAACCTGAAAGCCACAGGGTCCTTTGCCCAAGCGGTGTAGGACGAGGCCATGTCACTGGGGGTCGACCTACTGGAGGCCACTGGTAGGCTCGTGGGCCCTTCCTGAACAGGCGTGGCTAATGAGGCTCCATCCCCCTCACCACGAACTCCTGCCCTGGCAGCCGCATGAACTGAGCAAGGACTCAAAGGCAACTCGGACTGATTCACAGTCTCTCCTCCTCCCACCATTGTACACAGCATCTCAAGGCAAAAAGGCGAGTACAGTGATCCAAGATAGTGGTGCCAGGGTTCTCCTGATCTGTACTCGCCCACTTGTGTCAGTGCAGCCCAGGAAGGCATTCAGCAGCACCATCCCCATGCTAATCTAGAACAACTGACTTCCGTTCCTTAGTGGAACGCTTTACAGTTATACAGTTTGAATTTAATTTTCTTGGTTTGGGCTCAATATCCGGATCTAATTTCTCTGGGACTAAAATTCTGATACCTGACCCGTTATCAATGGCTCCCAGATTTTTATTCATGCACTATTTGGGAAGCTTGTCTCTGCGGCTTCACCGGAGCCCTGAGAAATTATGGAAGGGGCAGGACACTTCTCTTGGACATCCTCTGTTTCCAGAGCACACTTTGGTTATCACATTTTAACTTTTTATGTTAAATGGTCTAACGTAACTCTTGTGACTCATGTTACCCTTTTTCCGAATATCTAGTGGGAAACACGCGAGACCCTTGGTCTGTTGTTTGTAGCACCCTAAAACCGTGCTGCCTCTAACTTTCCTCTGCTCTCCAGGTGTGCAATCACCACAGCTGAAAGAGAAGGCACTCAAGACAGTGAGAAGAGCG